CGCGACCCCCCCGGTGGGCCGGGGCCGCCTGCAGGGCCGGAGGCGGTGGGCGAGCGGCCCCTGGCGTCCCGCGCTCACCCTCCCCGTAGTCCATGGCGGCGGCCCGGCGGCGGCGGCTCCCTCCAGGCTCCGGCGACGGCTCGGCTCAATGGCGCCTTCCACCACAACGAGGCTGGGAAGGGCGCGAGAGCGACCGCCCAGAAACGGCGGGCGGGGATTGGCCACGGGGGGGGGGGCACGTGTCCACCCGCGTCACGACGGCCATAGAAAAGCGGTCGGTCAGGCATACGGAAGGCGAGAGAGTGGCCGTTGGCGTCGCCCTCTGGGACGTCTGCATCGTTCTCTCTCTCGGGTTTCGGCCCCTGGCTGAGCGCCCGGCGGCCATTTTGCATTCTGGCAACGACCATGTTAGGTTCTGGCAAAATAAAAAAAAAAGCCTTAATATTAGGGCTTATCTCGGTTATAGCGTCTGGAGCAGGAACAGAGCAAAACCTCCCCTTGCTGCCCCAGAAACCATACTCCTCTAGTTGGGTGCTAGAGACAAGGAAGAGGGAAGGGGTGTCATAATAGCCAAAACACGAGGTGACCCGGTGTGTGAGGGGGAGATATCCAAGCTGTGAGGCCTTTGCAATAAAGTGCAGACAGGCGGGGGCGCTGCAGGCCCGGCCCGGCGTCTCCTTACTGCTTCCAGGGCCCGGGCTGGGCCAGCAGTGACCGGACAGGGCCTCCTCCCTCCTTCCCACGGGTGAGGAAACCTCGCCCCTGTTCTCCCCTCACCCCACAGCCCTGACTCAACCTTACATTTAACACCTCTTCATAATTTAAGTGCAGAACATTTCATCTCAAAAGAAAGGAAATCATAAGGACCACTCGCATAGGAAACCCAGTCACCTGTAAGGAGCTTGGTTAAACCTCTGGAAAACAGGCATGGCAGGAAAAGCAGCTACTGCCCTTCATTAAGCTAATTATGCAAAGCCACTAAACTCCTTTATGTAGCCTAGTAGCTGGTCAGCAGCAATCTGCACTCCAAACAAAAGCACACATCACTGCCCAAAAAGGTGCACTGAAAATGCATGTGTGCAGAGAGGTTGCTCTGGTTGTTGTCTTGCAAAGGACTCTGCATTTGTGAAAAGCAGCAGAAATATCAGGGAAGGGGGGAGACGTCAGCAAGGAAGCATCTGATGTAGCAGTCGAGGCCCTGGGAACAGAGACAGAGAAAGGTAGCTCTGCATGGAGATGCTATTTCTTTTGTGTTTAACTGCTCCTGTGGTCTGCGATGCGAGATCTTATGCATTTTATTTATAGATAGGTCAGAATGCATCAGACATGTCTGACTACTGTCTCCTGTCAGCAGAAACAAAATGCCAGGCCCCCAACTCGCTAATCACTGTCAAAAATAATTTCAGGAGAAGCAGATGAGATCCAACCAAGACAGGGGCCTTTTTTTTTAAAAGTAAACCAAAAACTAACAGTCCGCCACTTCTTATATAGCCTGGGTCAGGGAACTACAGCCTCACCTCAGTCCCTGGAAAAATCATGGAGCAGGTCCTCAAGGAATCCATTTCTAAGTGGAGGTGAAGAAGGTGATTAGGGACAGTTGGCATGGATTCACTAAGGGCAAGTCATGCCTGACCAACCTGATTGCCTTCAGT